CCGGTGATCCGATCGAGGACGATCACGAGCCCCATAGCAAACGCCGAATCAAACCGAGGCTTCACCAGCAAGGAGAACACGTCCTTGGAGAGAACAACTTGGGAGCAAGCATCAACTTTCCTTCTGATCTCCGCAACAACAGCCTCCTCCCCGTTGACGGCTTCTTGATCGCAGCATGCTATAACTCTGCAGCTTCGCTGTGCGAATGAGCCCTCGACCCGATACTCTCTGTCGCCGCGGGCGTCGTGGGTTTCGACGTCGAGTGTATTTCGGTCGCCTCCGAAGATTGAGGATCTCTTTACGCTGAAGATCGGTTGCTGGCCTTCCTTCTTGTCTCCTAGGAATCCCTCCCATCTCTGGTGAAGGCTAGGCCACTGCACAAATTTTATTTTTCCAAGAATAAGGTACTGTTAGCATAATTATTCGAGTTTCAGCAACAAAAGGTTCTTGATTATTTCGATATTAGTCCCTCAAATCTTCGGAATTGCTCGTATATAAGCCTCTCAAATCCGAACGAGTCAAATGCTTGAATGACCAAAATACTCTCAGCTCATGTTTTCTTCCAGAACCCCCTTGTCTTCCCACCCAAAAAAAAAAACATGATTTATGAACAGTTTCAAAGATTTTAACTAATTAGTATCTAGCATAACCAAACAAAAACCTCTTTCCCAATTCCTCAAAAAGCTATTACGAATGAAAACGGTTATTCATAATGGAGACCGTGGGTAAAAATCCTGGTAATTAACATAATGAAATGAGAAAGCTAGACACGTACAAGTTAATTTACGACACTGAGATTTGAGCCCTAAAAAAAAATGAAAACGATTTGATAATGTCGTAAATGATAAAATAGGTTAACCTTTCGCCGAACGGTGAGGATTGGAGCGCCGTCGGGATCCATGAGCACGATATTCTCCTTCAGCGCCGGGGCCGTGGACACAGGTGTCGACGCGAAAGACGAGCTCGCCGGTGTGATGATCGTAGGCGGCGTAGCCGTCGCCGGGGTAAAAAGCGAGGTCTTGCGCACCGTCAGCTCTCTCCTCGCCGCGTCGCCGCCAGTACTTGTCGCTGACGACGGCCGTGACTGCCTCCTTCGTTTTCATTTCTCCTGTGCGAACCTAATAAAAATGCTAGATGCGGAAGGTGACGATCACGGGCGGCTGGTTCCGTTCCTAGTACCCTCGTGGTGGGTAAAAGGGCGACCCACCTGCCAAGCATCCAATTTGCACCCCCCCCCGGCCCCTTTTGTCAACAGAGGGGATTTTTTATTTTTGCCCTTCACACGGGATCGGGGATCATGTATTTTATAGTACTTTATATTAGGTGCGTAATTCTTTACGTTGTTAATTTGTACATCTAAATCCATTCAGTTGCTTTAACATATGATTCAAATTAGGTTTGATATGAGTTCATGAGGGATTTGGTTTCCTTTCTCCGGCAACTCGTTTTAGGGATGAGTTCTCCTTGGTTCCTTGTGAATGCTATTAGATTCAGCCCCCTCGATGATGTGCGCAGCTATCCTTCACGGACGATGATGTGTTAGGGTGTCGTTGGGTTCATTTAGTCTCACATCAGCTAAGTTCGTTTTAGTGGAATAATGAGGTCCCTGTTGACGCAAACCTATCGCTAATACCAATTGTTGTGCACCGATCAATGTCCTATACGGACCGTCGCTCACAGACGCAACGCCAAATTTCGCAACTAGACCCCCTTTGTCTTTTTAGGACGGTCGATCACTTGGCGATATGAAAACACCGAGAAACTTATGTTTGAACAAAGAGAGAGAAAACAAACTATCACGAAAAATTGAACAGGAGCACAACAGCACACAATTTACATAGTTCAGCAGTCATGAAGAGATTTGAGTCTTCTTTCATTCTAGAGATTACAAGATAATCTATTCTTTTTTTTCTTAAAGAACCCGCAAGACGTCCTCTCTCAATGTCACAAAAAAAATCTCTCAAAATCATGAATTAATTTCTTTCTTTAGGTTCTCTCTGCTTCTCTTTTACAATATGCAGCTCTCCTTGCCTTCTATCATCCAGCCCTAAACATCGAAGACCTTTATTTATAGGGTCTAAACTGAATATAAAACTAATTAGAACTCCTAACACGAATAGGAATATGAAATGGCCAAAACAACTGAAAACGGTCTAAGGGCCGGTCCAACCGGCTAGTCTGTCACTAGTAGCACCTGACCGGTGTGTTTATAAGGGATCTACGTTTCCTTTCTCTGACAATTAGTTTTTTAAGGGTGAGTTTCTCTAGATCCCTAATGAACGGCATCAGAGCCGGACTCACCGAGATCTAACTAGTGCACAGCCAATCCCGTGGGCAGCGGCGTGTTAGGATCTATTTAATCTCACATCAAATGTACATTTTTTTAAAGTCCCTTACTGAAAATTGTAGAAAACGGTGTTAAATTGTTCAAAGTATTGGCAAACATGAAGATTCGGTAGGGGTATGGTGTCTGCCATATCCAGGTGTGGCAGAATCTGTCATATTTTCAAGGGTGTGGTGTGTGCCACACCCCACACCCGGAAGTGGTAGACTCGTTTTTAGATTTTCACCATGTTTGGGATTGTGTTTTGTTATAAATAGAAATACGTTTTAGGGTTTCTTAAGGAGAGAATTAACATTGTTTTGAGCACTTTGAAAGGGAGATATTGTGAGGGTGTTGAGAGCTTTGGTTAGGGTTATATTTGAGTAATTTTGTGAGTTGTAACCCGTTGTATTTCTCCTCTATATAGTAAAATATCCCCATCCTCTCCCAATGGACGTGGTAATTGTAGAACCATGTAAATTTTTGTGTTTAGTTTGATTTGTGTCGTATTTTGATGAATTGCACTCGTAATTTGGTTTGGTTCTCTTCTCTCATTGCTCACCGACTCGTTTTGTTGTCGAGCATGCTTCCGCACGGCGCGTAACAATTGGTATCAGAGCTCCAGATTTAGGATCTAGGGTTTTGACATTGGGTGGAGGAAGATTCATTATGGAAGCTTGGTTCTTGGAGTTATAGGTTTCGGTGGAGATAGTGTTGTGGAGTTGTCATTGAAGATCTCTCTTTCCTCGTGTGGTTAGGAGATCGTGTTGGAATCTTTCTTTACAATTTGGAGTGGTTTGCAATGGGAGAAGAAGTTGGTGAAAGCAGCAAGACGATGGCGAGTACAGTTTGAAATTACCCTAGAGGGGGATGAATAGGGTAAATTGCTAACCTAATCTGATTAAATACCAATTAAAATTTTATTAATGAGATTTTCTCTCTGGTGGTGAAGTACTCTCCGATTTGGATTTTGTTAGCTTTGGTGGCACAATATGGTTTAGAGTTAGATCAGTTGGATGTAAAAACAGTATTTCTTTATGGTGATCTTGATGAAAAAATCTATATGATTCGGCTATTAGGATTACGAGCTGTAGGGAATGATAAATTGATTTATAGATTGAAAAATCGTTATACGGTTTGAAGCAATCTCCTCGACGGCGGTATAAGCAATTCGATGGGTTCATGATTGGTCATTCGTACATTAGGAGTCAGTTTGATCCTTGCGTGCACTATCGCAAGTTGAATGGATGTGCGTACATTTATTTATTCTTTTATGTCGATGATATGTGCTTCTACTTCTAGATCCGCGATAGATAGATTGAAGATTCAGCTTTCGAGGTAGTTCGAGATGAAGGATTTAGGTGAAGCTAAGCGCATTTTGGGGATGGAGATCAGCAGAGACAGAGACAAGAAGAATTTGTTTGACACATGTAGCTTATTTGAATAATGTTCTACAGTGGTTCGATGTGAGTATAGAAACGAAGCCAGTTAGTGTATCATTGAAATCCCATTTGAAGCTTTCAGCTGACCTTTCATCAAAGACAGTTAAAGATCGATAGTTGATGTCAAAAACTCTATATGTGAGCGCAGTTGAGAGTTTGATGTACGTCATGGTTTGTACAAGGCCGGATTTATCACAGGCAGTGAGTATGGTTTCTAGATACATGCACGACCCAGGTCCGGGTCATTGAAATGTCATGAGATGGATTTTAAGGTACATTCGAGGTACTCTCAACGTTGGTTTGGTTTTTGAGCGGGACACTAGTAGTGGGCAGCTATGTATTTGATACATAGATTTGAATTACGTTGAAGATTTGGATAAACACCAATCGACGACGGGGTATGTATTTACTTTGACCCATGCGCCGGTGTGTTGGAGATGCACCTTGCAATCTACGGTGGCTTTGTCTACGACGGAGACAGAGTATATGATGACTACGGAGGTTGTTAAGGAGGCGATTTGGCTTCGATGACTTTTGGAGGATCTTGGTGTTTCGCAGCCGTCCATCACCATTTATTGTGATAACATGGTGCTATATTTTTGATGAAGAATCAGGTTTTCCATGTGAGGACGAAGCATATCAATGTTCGTTATCACTTCATTCGGGATGTTCTTAAATATGTGGATGTGGAGCTCATGAATGTCCACACAAAAGACAATCCAGCGGATATACTCACAAAGGTGGTTCCGAACAATAAGTTTGATCATTGTAGAAACTTATTGTAAATTCATGATTGTTGAGGTCGTTCACGGTTATTTGGATGAACTACAGACGGCTTGATCCTTTGGGAGAGGGGGTGCGTATGCAACCACATTGGTGCAACCGTATTTGGTGAGATGACGCATTGATGCTCATGTTGGTGTTGGCTCAGTTTTAGGAACACTTCGTCGAGATGGAGAATTGTAGAAAACGATGTCAAATTGTTCAAGGTGTTGGCAAACATAAAGATTCGGTAGGGGTGTGGTGTCTGCCACACTCAGGTGTGACAGAATTTGCCCCTGTTATCAGTGGTGTGGTGTCTGCCACACCCAGGTGTGCCAAAATCTGTCCTGTTTTTTTAGGGGTGTGGTGTGTGCCACACCCGGGTGTGGCAGATTCGTTTTTAGATTCCCATCATGTTTGGGATTGTGTTTTGTTATAAATAGAAACACGTTTTTTAGGTTTTCTTAATGAGAGAATTAGCATTGTTTTGAGTACTTTGAGAGGTAGATATTGTGAGGGAGTTGAGAGCTTTGGTTAGGGTTATATTTGAGTAATTTTGTGAGTTGTAACCCGTTGTATTTCTCCTCCATATAGTGAAATCTCCCCATCCTCTCCCCATGGACGTAGGCAATTGTCGAACCACGTAAATTCCTGTGTTTGGTTTGATTTATGTCGTATTTTGGTGAACTGCACTCGTAATTTGGTTTGGTTCTCTTCTCTCATCGCTCACCGACTCGTTTGGTTGTCGAGCACGCTTCCGCACGGCGCGTAACAAAAATTTATACTTTTCTTTTGTCTGCAGTATTCTTCTAAGTTCTTTTTAATGAAATGACGGGATTATTCCTTACAATATGTTCTCTAAAAAACTTAATTGCTGCCGAAAATTTAACTTCATACACCTAAGCGTCAGAATAAATTGATTGTGTTGAATATCTCCATCCTCTCTCCATCATACCTTTTTTTTTCCTTTCTGCTTTTCCTAGTCCAAGCACTAAATTTGAAGAATAATGATAACATATGAATTAAAATATGTTAACATATCATAATCAAAAAAATTAAGACAAATTATCAACAATAAGTAAGATTTAAAGACACCCAAACAATAGACAATTAGACATGCATGGACTGAATTTCAGCTCAAGGTGTAACCTAAAATAACTAGAAGGAATTGAGGTGCAAACTAAAAATAAGAAGAATTTAAGACCTAATGTAAAGACATGTAGATAATTTATGGTGCTCACATGAGAAAAATGAAAAATCCAAAAGAAATAGAGTGTGGGTCAAAGAAGAAGGCGAATGCGTAATGTATGGGTGAAGAAAAAGGAGAGTGGGTGGTTTAGCTTTTGAGTTAAGGGCCACCAGATCAGTCAGCCATGGATCCTATCAAGCATAAATACATGGAGAC